AAAATTTTAGTTCACTTGCAAAGATATGGAGAAATCTATAAATTTGCCTACCTCAACTGTAGCAGAAAAATATTTTACCTCCTAACTGTCATTTCCCAGTAACAGTTGCTATGAGTTGGTTAAGTTTGTTCTGGGCCAGGGATTTAGTTCCGTGGTTCTGCCACCTGCCTTGCAAGCTCAAGGTCCTGAGTTCGATTCCCAGTACCAAAAAAAAAAAACAACAAAAAACAAAAACAAAACTGTGAAGACTCAAAATTTTGTTCTTTTTCATCCTCAACAAAACGGTTGACAATTTTCCAGGATTGGTGTACTTCACAACCAAATCTACTCAAGACTCTTATCACTCTATAATGAATACCATACATAGAAGCCACAAGCAGATGAGACCAAAAGGTCCTGGGACTCAACGTGGCAGACTAAAAACACTTTGCTTTGGAAAGAGGAGCTTATCTGTCACTTTTCTGTGACAGCATATTGTGCCCTGTCCTTTGTAGAGATTTGATGAATAGAAAATACATGTGGATTTAAATAGCTTGGGAATGCTTTATATAAAAGGTGACGAGAGTTAATTCTTGAAAAACAGGCAGAAAAGGGTGAATAAAGAAAGAGTGGGCTGGAGATTTAGCTCAGTGACACCGCGCCTGCCCTGCAAAGTCATGAGTTTGATCTCCAGTACAGCCAAAAAAAAAAAAAAAAAAAAAAAATGTGAGCACCTTAGGCAGGAGGAGAAAAGTGAGAACCACCGGCTGAACAAAAGTTTGGCATCAGGTCTAAATATGGTGTTTGGTATTGAGTAGTTTAGTCTTTTTATAAATGTGTCCTTCATGGTAGAATTGCAAGCAAGTTACCTCAGGTCCCTTTAATGGAGGAACCAATCCCATTCACACAGGTTCCACCCTGTGACTTAATCACTCACCCAAGGCTACACTTCCTAATATCACCTTAGAAAATGAGAACTCAACATATGAATTTAAAATGAAGAGGAGCATTCAGACCACACCACTGAGTGAGTGGGGCATTGGAGAGAAAAGTGTGTTGATGGGCATCATGATGAACATCATCATTATAGAATATACATGAATGAGTCAGGATGTTAAGTCTCAATCCTCTCAAACATTTTCCTACTGTGCTAGGGAGGGAAAACTGTGGAGGCCAGAATAGACATGACATATAAGCTAATGAAGAATAGAAAACAGGCAGTGATAGGCATATGATAAATGCTTTGGTACATGAAGTACAGAGGCATGTGAGTGGTTGGTCTAGCTGGGACTTGAGGGCACTGATGGGTCCAGAAAGATATCCCAGATAAGAAGTTGTATACACTGTGACCTGAAAGGTAAGAGGGAGCTAGTCAGAGGGAAAAGGTGTGGAGCACAGGATGGGGCTGGATGTGCAACTGTGAAGGGCTTTTTAAGCCATGCTGTCCGAGCTTTATCCAGAGGGATGTGAGGAATCCTCAGGAGATGTTAAACAGAGGAAAGGACAAACTTTTGATGTCAGTCTGGCTGCAGCACAGAGGGGAGCTGTAAGACAGAGATGCCTGAGGGCAGTGGCCTTAACTGGCACAGCATTAATGGGAAAGGAGAGAGTTTAAGGAAACTTGCTGGAAAAAACAATGAGATTAAATATTTGCATAAATTCACTGATATTCTCATCACTGATGGGATTCCTCCCTCCCTTTGAATCTGAGTGAGCGCATGACTCCAGTGGAAGTGACGTCATGTAATTTCTGAGGCCAGATTATACAAATGACAATAGCTTCTGTCTGGTGCTCATGGGACAGTCACACCCAAAACCAGCCACCATGCTGTGAGGAAGCTATATGTAGACATTTCAGTCAGTCCCAACTTAGGTCTTGGCATCAACTGCTACAAATAAATATTAAACAAGGAAGCCTTTGAGCTGACTAGGGTCCCAGCCATACTTGATGATTTCACCCACAGAAGACCTTGGGTGAGGACTGCCTGTTCACCCATTCCCAGGCTAATGAGCTATAAAAATGAAATGACTGGTGTCATTCTAATCAAGATTTGAAGTGCTTCTGACACAGCAATAGGTCCCCAGCATGCTGTCCCTAGCATCTCCCAATTGTTTCTTTCTCAGTACTCGACTGTATGGATTCTGGGGCAATCAATATCTACAGTAATTTTTTTTGGTATCATTTTCTTAGTTTCCATTGCATTGATTTCTGCTCTAATCTTTATAACTTCCTCTCTTGTTCAAGCTTTGGGTTTTTCTTGCTCTTGTTTTTCTAGGAGTCTAAGATTCATCATTAGGTTATTTGAGCTCACTCTGTTTTCCTAGTGTGGGCATTCAGTGCTATGAATTTTCCACGTAGAACTGCTTTCATAGATTCCTGTATGTTGTATTGGCATTTTCATTTATTTGTAAAAACTGTCTAATTTCTTCTTTAATTTCCCCTGTGATCCATTGATTGTTCAGGAGAGTGTTGTTCAATTTCCATGTGTTTGTGAAGTTCCTAGTTTCTTATGCTATTGATCTCCAGCTTGATTGCACTATGATCTGATAATATACAGGGGATAACTTCGATTCTTTTGCATTTATTCAGACCTATTCTGTGAGCTAGTATGTGGTTTATCTTGGAGAATGACCCATGTGCAGCCGAAAAGAATGTATATTCTGATTTTCTGGGGTGGAATACTCTATAGATGTCTATTAAGTCCATGTGTTCCAAAGCTTGGTTCAGTTCTAGTATTTCATTGTTGATTTTCTGCCTAGATGATCTGTCTATTTGTGATAGTGGGGTATTTAAATCCCCCACTACAGTTGTATTAGTGCTTATTTGGATTTTCATGTTACTTAGTATTTTTCATATATTTGGGGGAGTTAATATTTGGTGCATATATATTTATGATTATCATCTCTTCCTCTTGAATTGTCCCCTTTACAAGGATGTAGTGGCCTTCTTTGTCTCTCTTAATGAGTTTAGGTTTGAAATTTACTTTGTCTGAGAATAAGATTGCTACCCCTGCTTTTTTCTGAGCTCCTGTCACATGGAGAATTGTTCTCCATCCTTTCACTTTCAGTCTATGGGCTTCTTTTTGCACTAGGTGTGTTTCTTGTATACAACATATTGTTGGATTTGCTTCTTAATCCATTCTGCCAGTCTATTTCTCTTGATTGGTGTCTATTTCTCTTGATTGGTGAATTGAGGCCATTGACACTGATGGTTATAACTGATATGTTCTGACTTATTATTGTCATGTTATTGTCCTTTGGTTGACTCTTTACTTTTTCCCGTCTCTCCTTTTAGTTTCTTGCCTTGCCTGTTTGATCTGAGAAACTTCATGAACACCAAACCAGCACAAGGAATTCTAAACAATACCCTACAAAAGGACATTGAAGGTCACAACATGAGGCCCAATATCTACAGTAATTTAAAACACACACCTACCCAGGAATTGAGGGATAAAATACTCTGTCCAATCAAATATTCTCCTTAACAGAAGCAGATGGGCAAATTACTGATTAAGAAACATGAGTTTTTCAAATCACCAAATTTTAAGGAATAAAATGCTCATGCAGCTTATACTGAACATTTTTTCTGATTTTAAGACTTCAGAATCATGTATTATTTGAAGGTGAATATTGTGCATATTAGCCAACTGTGTAGTAAAACTTCTGGGAACAAATAGCATGGCCTTATTTTTGGTCAGACAACCATCAGCAATAGAGCAGCAGAGATTGGGAAGATTGCTCTTTATTGCTAGCTTTTTTCTTTTTTGCTACTGACTGGTTGTTTGACAACCACCAGGGCCACATCCCCCCAGGACATTATAACGACTTAAATGCTCTTTGTGTGCATTAGCAGACCCAAGACCAGTAAGGGGACAGAAATTATGTCCTATTAGTCCCTAAGACTTGGAAGATTCAGAAATCCAAGTATGCACACATATACAGAAGCCATTAAGTTCCCCAAAAGGCAGAGAATTTGTCTCTTTAAATGGAAATGTTCAATGCATCACAGAGTATAAGTTAAAGAAATTCATTTGTATTTCTAAGCTGGACCAAGCCTATAATGTAGGTATGATTACCCTCACTTCCCAAATGAACAAATTGAGGCCAAGTCCATGGCCACCCATGAAGTCATAGGAGCCTAACAGTACTCTCTCTTAAGAGGATCTCCTTTTGTTCTCTGATTTTCTAAGACAGGGTCTCACTATGTAGTTGAGGCTGCCTGGAACTATGTAGCCAAGGCTGGTTTTGAACTCACAGCAATCCTCCTGCTTCAGCCTCCCAAGTGCTGGGATTACTGGCATGCACCACCACACTCGGCTCCTTTTCTCCTCCGAAGAGATATGACATGATAGTGGGAAGTACACTAGACTAGGAATCTAGATATTAACCTCAGGTCCACCACCAATGAGTTACACTAATTTGGATACATCATTTTCTCAACCTGGAAGATGGAGTTAATTCAAAGATTCAGAAAATGCTTCCTGCTCTAAAATTTCTAATTCTATGGACAATTCTTGTCTCAGAATAACAATAAGGTGAACAGGCTTCACACTGGAAGTAGCACTGGAGAGTCTGCAGCATTCCTGATGGGTGCTGCTGGGCTTAACATCCCTCTGGGCCTTCAGAAACAAGGCACAATGAAGTAGGGTCAGTCTGTATTTTCTGCACATTGGGGACCACTTATGTATAATTCATCAGCTGCTGTATTTCGAATCATTCTGAGTATGAGGAAGCTTTGACTTGCTCTCATGACACAAATTTCTGTTGCTGTTTTTAAATAAGGAATCCAAGAAGATAAAATTATTAACAAATGAGATGAACCACAGGACCAAATATTTATGATCCATACATAGAACTAAGCATCACATGGTTATTAGTGTTCATTTTTGAAAAGCACATGGTATACCCATGATCAGCACAGAAATCATTAAAATTTGGCTTTGATAAGATGTTTAGAACTGATGTTCCAAAAGCTGATGGTTTTGTTTGTACAGTAAAGAAACACATTCTCAAGAAGCTGTTCAGGTACCTTTTTATTGCTCATGTTTTTGAGAACACTTGAAGGTTCATTTCAAGTCATTATGCCAACAAACATAGGCACTACTATTTGCAGATGGAAAAACAGGGGCTCGAGTATTCTATTCAGGGTGAGAGAATTAAATGACAGTAGAGCAGTAAGAAAATCCTTGGCTGTTTCCCAACATGGTAGGACAGGGTTTTGGAGCTCCTAAAATCAGCAAGGGTATTTATTACAACAATCATTCCCTTGAAAAACAGGGAAGATCACACTTCAGGTGTAGTTCATTCTTGATGATGTTCACTGGACTCTATTCAGGTACTATAAGCTGCATTGAAGACTCAAATCATACTCCTTCCCCAAGAGTGACACAGGGGAAGACTGACTTTGAGGGAGCTGAGCTTTCTTTGCTTAATCCAGACCTTCATAGCTGGACAACAAGGAAACTTCCATGGCCAGCATGCCACCATTCATGAACTCAGGACATAGGGAGACCAAGTGTTAGCATAACATCCACTGAAGTAAGATACCTGACTTCTTAGAGAAGCCAACAGTTCACTTGAAGCAGACCCCTCAGATCCAGAAGAAAGTTGAAAATAGGGTTACTCGACCAATAGGGATTTGTTGAGGGGCTGAAAGGTCCGTTGGCTGAATTTCCTCCTGTTTAGTAGTGAAGTATGAGAATTCTTGTTCCTGGGGGTGTAGCAGAGCAGAGCATCCAGAGTGTAAGAAGTCACCTGGCCATGTATATGCAGTTTCCCATAGATCTCCTCATATCTGGCCACAAGTGCGGGCACATCCTTCACTTTTTCCTTCACTTTGGCCAGCTGGAAAACAAGTAAGAGCAATCACCTACCACACCTATGCAAGGTACCTTTGTTATCCTTTCTATGCTCTAAACAGAGTTAGACATGTGTAAAAATAAATAGTAATAAATAAACACTTAAAATAATGAAAACCAGGGTACTGGGTACTATAAGCATGGATAACTTTAAAAGATTCCATAAGCTACACAAAAAATTCAGAATCAATATTTGAAAACCATACCCAATATTCTGTGAAGAGAGTTAAAATGGCATCTACTCTACAGTGCAGCACACCAGGGAAAGGCCAAATATCAATTGAATTGACTTTGATCAATGTAATGATTAGAGTAGGAGGTGCGGCTAAATTACACAGGGTTTTAGACATAGCCTGTGACAATTTTTTGGAATTGGTCCTAAAACCCATCAAAGTCTAAAATGGGATATGATTTAGGTTTAAAAGCATTTAAGTGAATAAATTGGAGGGTACAGGAATGTTCACACTATTCCAGAGACCCCACTGTAGCCCAGAAAAGAAAAGATGGTAGTTTAGACTGGGAAGTATACAGAAATGATGGAGTAGTTGCTATATGTGAGGGGTTTTTTGAAGTTTAAACTAAAAGCATTTAATGTCCCCAACTTGGGCTTTAGCATCTTGATGATGGGTGATACCATTTATTGAGACGGGGAAGTCAGGGAGGGTCAAATTGGAAGGAGAAAATCAAGAGCTGTTCTGGTATGATTGAGACACCGCAAAACATCTAGGAGGATATCTGGAGGATGCTGTTGGATGCACAGGCCAGGAGCATAGAGGAGGGGCCTAATCAGACCATAAATAGCAAGTATACACACAAATGAGCTCAGAATTAATATGCAAAACTACTTTCTGAATAAAATCAACGTTTTACTTAGTTCAGTTCTTATTAAACATACAACGTAACATTTTTAAATAAAACTTAAGGGATTCAAGGTTCCTAAAAATCCTTTAGTCATCATCTAAATGAATAATAATTCTATTTGTCAGTCTGCACATCTTCCTTTCAAACAAAAGCTCCCGAGTCTTCAGATAAGCAGCTTAAGCTCTTAAAGAATAGCTTGTTTCTTTAAGCTATTCAAGGTGAACTGATTTAATGTACATGTGGATTCCAAAAGAAGAGAACATGCCAAGCTAGAGGGAGCTTTGATCTAGCTGCATATACTGTATCAGTCCTATCACTTCAGAAATATTCAATAGTATCATGAGAACCATGCTACCATTTATGCAGAAAAGAGAATGTACCGTATTCTTTGTTAACTTAATTTTAAAAAGGAAATCAATGAAGAAACAGCTAATGTTTCAGTAACAGTACTGGAGAAAACTCAACAATTCTTTTCAATACTCCTCTCGTGGTCTGATAGTACCTATGACAGCTTATATTCGACTCCACACATAACATATCTTTAGTAACTCTTGGAATAAACATTAAATTCAGCATTTGTAAAATGCAGAGTTTTACAGTATCAGAATCCACGTGCAGACTCACACTTACCTTTAGAACTGGCTCAAAAGCTACTGAGTTGTGTGAATCAATTCGTTTACCTATAAATCAATTCATTTCATTGTTCAATTCAATTCATTGTTACAAAATCAAAGACACAAATGAAGTACCCTGAGGGAAGTCACATTTCCATTCTGTTTTGATTAAATTCTGGCATTTCCATCTACTGATTTCCAAAACTCTAAATCTACATAGAGTTATGTGTCATTTAATGATGAGGATATAATCTCAGAGATGTGTCATCAGGCCACTTCATCACTGTACACATGTCAGAGTGTACTTAGACAAACCAAGATGGTTCGATGTACGTCACTGGGTAATATGATCTATGGGACCACTGTCATGTACGTGGTCAGGTGCTGACCAAAATGTCATTATGTGGCATATGACTGTGTGAACACAAATATGTATCTACATTCCCCCTTCTCGCAGCAACAGATTTTCATCTTGCTTTTCTCACTTAAGAACATATTAAAATGGTCCACACATAGTGATCCACAGCACTATGTGCAGCAGTTACTTTTTTTTTAACAGGGGCACAGCAGTCCTTCCTGTGAATGAGTAAAATGTGAAAATCTGTGTGGTTGAGGGCAAAGGTAAGCATCTCATTATCATTCATTGTAAACAAACTTTTCTAAAAAATGGTGGTAGGTTAAGTAGATAGCCAATGAAAAACAATAAAGTTTTATTTTTCTTAAATGACAAACCCCAAAATAAATTTCAAACGGACAAGACATTAAATTTTTAAAATGAAATGACACAAGTACTCAATATAAATATTACTGAGTTATTTTATATCCTTAGGGTGGAAAAACTTTTATCTTAGTCAAAATACAAGTCAATAAAGGAGAGTGATAAATCTGACGGCATGAAATTTTTAAAAACTTTTTTGATATGGCAGAAACATGACAAAATCAAAGGGCAAACAAGCTGGAAGAAAATACCTTAAATTTTAATCACACAAACAGCTACTGAACCCTAATATATAAAGAGCTCTTTTTGTTTTTTGCTTTTTTAAAACAGGTCTAGCTATGTGAAACAGGGCCATGACCTCACTATATATAGCCCAGGGTAGCCTCGAACTCATGATGATCCTCCTGCCTCAGCCTCCCAAGTGCTGGGATTACAATTTGAAAATTGTGAGAAAAGTACCAATATCTCTAAAGAAAAATTTCCTCATTTGTAAATGAGATGTAAGAGATAGAGTTCACTAAAAAAGAATTGTGAATGGCCTTCAAACATTTGTAAAGATGCTCACCCTTGCTCATATTAAGACAATGTTGCTGGAGTTGGGAGAGGCTGGCTGCAGAGCTGCACTGTCTCCATGGTTACGGGAAGGAGCTAGAGGCTGACAGTGTGGCACCATTCTCTTCTGATGACATCTATCTTTCCCAGGTCACTAATTGAGAGTGAGACGTAGGGTAAAGGTACTGGAGGCATTGCAGGGAAGGAAAAAGGTCATCCCAAAGGAAAGGGACAGCCAGGCCCACGAAAACAGTGCAGGTAAAAGAGCTATGTAAATGGAAAAAGTGTTCACAGAAGTTCATGGGAGATATATATACTCTGTTGGAAGAAAAAAATGTCTGCACTCACATGAAAGTCTGAAACAGGAACAGAGAGGTTTACATATCTGACAATCTCATTAAAGGGGATGTTATAATCAGGTGGAGGATCTTAAGAAGCCCTTTCACACTTGCACACTCACCACTTCATTGGAGAATTTGTGTCTTATCACAAATTTAGACAAATTTCCTTCTGCAGCACCTTGCAGTATCTCTATTAGGGTTTCCAACATATTTGACTGAATATGGATCATGATCTGAGTAAAAAGAAGAAAGACGCAAAAACAAGACTGAGCCAGTATTTCAAGTTGGCAAATGTACCTAGTTAGATTAGCCAACACTGATAGGCGCCCACTCTGCTTTGATGCCATTTCCCAATCCATTCACCTGTACAGGTTCAAAAGAGTACTGCACTTGGAATGTAAGCTTAACCAGCCAAAACGTGCTTTCCAAGAATTAATCATGGGCCAGGGATTTAGCTCAGTAGCACTGTGCCTGCCTTGCAAATGCAAGGTACTGAGTTCAATCCCTGGTACTAAGGAAAAAAACAAAATGAACAAAAAGCCAATTAATTAGAACACCACAACTGCAAAATTTGCTTAAGAGCAATGATGAAGATAGCATGAATCTTGGAGTCTGGATATTTGGGGTGAAATCCCAACACTGCCAATTACCATCTATGTGATTCTGGGCAAGGCACTCAATCTCTCTGATTTTAAATTTCCTCATTCGTAAAAAAAGGAAAATATGTTCAGGGCCCACACTACTGTGTTACTGTGAATGTAAAATAAGATACCAGCACAAAGGAGCTATTCAACAAACAAAATTATGAATGCCCTCCTCCTATCTTCTCTGGATTCAGACGAGATGAAAACCAAACCATTTCCTAAAATTGGCAAATGGTTGAATTTGTTGTTAGGAAGCTGCAGGCACCAGGCTACTGCAGGCAGAGCAGAAATTGGCTGAAATCTCAATGAGCACCTCCTATTTACACTATATCAAATAATTTTCAAATGGGTGTGGTACCATGCTTTCAAAATGACACCATTACCTTCCAACAGAGTGGCAGAGTTAACGCAAGAAAAAAGGAACACACTCCCACCCATTACTAATATTCACCAATACAATCTGAAACACAGAAAAAGGTTTAAAGAAAATGAGAATAATTGAGAATTCACCAACTATTGTTCACCAGTTTATAATGTTCCAAATATATTAATTTTCCCCAAAATTTGAGCCTGCCTTTTGCAGTTACTATGAGTAATTCTTCATAACATATGACAAATATTACAGAAAAGAAAAGTAATTTTAACAAGTTATAATCATGAAAATATACATTTTATTATACTGACCAATGTGTATACATTAAAAAAATCAGACGATTCAGACAAGTGAAATTACTAAATTAAACTGTATAAACATTTCAATGCTCTTGCTCCTTATGAAAGGAAGTTCTACTGGAAGAGTTTCCTTTTTTATATTGAGTTATGTTCTCTCACTATTCTTCCACTAAAAACACCGGTAGTTCAGCAGTGTATTGGTCTGTTTTTTTTTTTATCACCACAACAACATAACTGAGGCAAGCTACTTATGAAGAGTTTACCTCACAGTTCTGGAGATTTAAGGGCATGGAGCAAGGAGTAGGCATGCTCACTGCCTACTGTAAGAGATTTGAGTTCCCTAAGCTCAGGGTTCCTCTCCTAAAATGCAACCTTCGTATACAAAAGGTATAGAAACCTCCTTACTTCACACCACAGGGACTGGAGATCAGGAAACGGATAGAAAAATGCCATACTTCAGCTACTGCTATTGCTGGAATAAACTGTCACTGTGCCTCAAGTCTAGTGTGCACTCACTTCCCCAGCATCTAAGAAACTAGAGCAGGCTATGTCTTAGCGTGCAAGTAGGGTAAAATTTCCAACCTTTCAAGTTCCTAACACTCTGGTTAATAAAAACCAGTCCCAATTTGTGTGGCAGTAGTCTGTCTTCTCCTGGGCTAGGACAAGCTTACTATATTGAATACTGTGTCTCCAGTTCCTGACACACAGCTGAACCAAACCCTCAACATGATGAGGAGAGTATGGGTCTCTAGCAACTAATAAGTATAAACCCGGGAGCCCTGTGCTGGAAAGGATGTGCTCCTGAAAGATTTCAATGTTTTTCCTAAGTCTTCATAACTTCTCTTCCTGCCTCCAGCACCTACCTGAGATTCAGTAGGGATTTCAAGGATAAGGTTCAGTTAGAATACACTGACGAAGAGCAATGCACAAGAAGTACCTAGGGCTGAAAGAGACAGTGAATGTGCGACAGCTAGGGGCTTGTCTCAAATTGCAGGTTACAGTCAAGGAAACTAAAACAGTACAGCACGCTGCTTTAATATTATAGATTTCAAACAAAAGACCAGGGAAATTGAATCAGCAAGGAATACGGAACATTTTGGCAAGAAAATCTATTCAGGGAACCCATACTTCCTGCCCCTCTGATTTTCTGAGGCCTCGGAACATGACAACAAGTCTCTGAATACATTTGACCAAGAAAAAGAACAGCAGCCCTGAGCATGCAGACATTCACATTGCTTGCTTCTTCTACTGTCTTTTTAAGTTTGCTATATTGGATCACCATAATACAACAGACACCATACCCAGTGTCCCCTTATTCCTTGCCCTAAGAACTCCTGAAATTTAACTCATAACTGCCATGTGTGGAATTCAATTATATTTCTCAGGTTTCTTTGCAATTTGGTGTGGTCACCAGATGAAGTTCTGGCTAATAACATGTAAGTAAAAGTTGCTGGATGAGATACCTGGGAAAGCACCTTTAAAAAAAGATGAAGTTTTTTTGTCCTCTCCCACTTTTCCTACTTCTTGTGGATCAGGGATGTAATAGATGGAAGTCACCTGCTTAGGACAGCAGTAGAAACAGAGAGAGAGCTGGGTTTCCGATAACATGGAATGCCACACCACGACTGACCACCTCTGGTTTTCTACAGGGAAGAAAAATAAAGCCTCTAGTTTGCACATGCTCTTGTATTTTGGAGTGTATACTTATTGAACGAAATATAATTAAGAATGAGGCACTGTCAGAAATGTATGCGAAAAAAGTCTTATCTCCTTTTGTACCTGTGTAGCATAGGAAACAACATTTTAGGGTGACCTTATGAATAGGAGAAAGGGATATTAAAATATTCACTTGTGTTAATAAATGACAAAAGCAGCAAAACTAACCACTTTCCAATTCTCTTACAAAATAAATGCAATTCCAAAATGGAAAACATTTGAAGACGTGCCAGAGTTCTAGAGAAAGGATCAGAATTCAATAGAGTTCAGTAGAAAGTTACCCTGTTCATGTCTGCTACTTTCAGATATATTTGGAAGTGGAAATTAATCCTTTGCTGTTGAGTAGCACTACTGAAGAGAAACTATAGTTCTTTGAGATTGATGAGTTTAAATTCAGACTGAAAGGACAGAGTCAACTGGATCGCCTGCTGAATTAATGTCCTATGTAGTGAATATTAGCTGGGAAAATAGGAAACCAGGCCCTCTACACAGTGGGGATAATTTTGATGAAAAGACAATTCAGTAGGGGGGAAATTAGGTGAGTTCAAATTCCAACTGGCAGAATCAAAAGATTTTAGTATAAGGCAGTTTTAGTTTTTAATGTAAATCAGAGAGAGAAAATTTCATTTTATCTGTTAATATTGACTTGTCAGCCTACCTACCTGTCAGGTTTCCATTTCTTAATAGTTAACAAATTCCCTTAAGGGATTCCAAGTGACGATGATCTTGGAGAAGCTAAGGCTTGCTACGTCACTTTTTAAAAACTGCTCTAATAAAAGACCCAACACCTGAAGGATTATTAAACTTGACAACAGCAACCATCTCTTTTTCATCACCCTTGGAAATGATGAGACTGGCTCATATTGCAATTTAGAAATTTAGACAGGACATTTAAAACTTTTTCAAGTGAGAATTCTTTAAGCAATAAAAGTATCTTTAAGTTTCCTAACAGTGGATGATTCTGTGACTGCATTCGTGAAGAGGATTCATATTCAACATCAATTCAAGGTTCCTTATGTGGTCCTTGCCTGAACTGTCCCCATTCCACCATGTGTATGAGGCAACTTTCCTCCCAGTTCAGAGCCCAGGGGCCCATGGACTCTGGCAGGCGAGTCTGTGCTCTTTACTGTGTTCTATTTTTCCTCCTACTGGGAATGGACAACTTTACTCTCAGCAAGCTCATTGTTTATTTCTACCAAAGCATTTTCGCATTTGAAAACCAACAGTAAAAACCATTTATAGATTCTCTTAACAACTGTGAGAGAGGCCAGGACCGAGAGAGCTGAGGAAACTAAATCCATGCAAGTGGACCGCATGCATTGGTAAGGATCAGGTTTTCAAACATCTAGTACCATGTTCTTATTATTATCTAGGAGGAGCAGCTAGTCCTAGCACTGGACAAGGGGGGACTTCCCTTGTCACCTCTGTGGGTCTCATCTCTTTGGAGAGGAAGGAAACCCTGTGCTTTGCAGTCAGTTGTCTGGGTTAAAAATCCCAGTTCTGTTATTCACTGAGCAGTGTGAACTTGGGTAATTTACATACCCCTTGAATCTTAGTTTACATATCAGGACCACAGAGGGATACTGTTCTGACAGGATTCTATAAAATGAACTAAAGAATATAGACTACCTCTAGACCAGTACCACAGCTAAACTCAATGAAAATCTGCCATCTCTTTCTTTAATTTCTCACCACCACCTTATTTCAGTGCCATGAAAGGCTACTACTGAGCTATTTCCTGGACTTCTCCCCATGCTCTTCAGGATTTCTTTCCTTTCTGATGAACCACTTGGCTAGCTCTGGCTTTCGTGGAAGAGTCTCTTGCTGATCCCAGCAATTCTACTCCCATCCTATCATGAAATCAACACATCTTCTGGCTACTCTCTCTCTCAGAAGCAAGGACTTGGATACCAGAGCTGCCCCTATCTTGTGGGAAGCAGAGACAACAAAGGACATAAAGCATTTCCTGGAAGACTAGGCTCTCTAGTTATCAATGGCTCAAATGATCTAAGTTTCTGGACTCCAGACCTTTGCCATGGAGCCCTAGACTCCCAGACCTGCCTGAGCTTGAGATTTCAGGCTGCTCCTCTGTTGGCACCTGTAGCTTTTCCTTGGCCTTAGCCCTAAACAGGGTGATCTGTAGGGACAATGCCAGGTGGGGTGCTCAGCCCTCTTCTACAGCTACACAGATGTAACTGCTCCCTCTCTTCTCTAATGCTTCCTCTGCTTCATATGAATGCCTTAGAAACTCACTTTGGAGTCCTCTTTCTTTCCTTTCTTTGGCAGCTGTCAGCTCACATGAGATCCCTCAGCAAGTGTACACAGTGAATCTGGGCTGACAGAGTCACCACACATCCCTCCTCTAGGCTCATACTCTTTTTTTTTTGGATTTTTGAGACAGGGTCTCACTATGTAGTTGAGACTGACCTGGAACTCACTATGTAGCCCAGGCTGGTCTCCAACTCACAGCAATCTCCTGCCTCAGCCTCCTGAGTGCTGGGATTACAGGCGTGCGCTACCACGCCCAGCGAGGCTCATATTCTTACAAACTGCAGTCACTTTATAGGCATTTTTCTAGTAGCTGCTTCCATCCCAAGCACTTCTCTCCCTCCTCAGGTTCTTTGATATTATTGTCTCTGTATTTTTGGTTCCTCGGGCTAATTTTTCCTTCATGTGGAAGCATTCTGAAAAGTAAATACAAGGCCCAATCTAACGTATTCTGATCTCAGATTTCTCACCTGACCTCATTTCTCCAAAGTTTACCGTAAGACCTTATATAGTCTTTCTCCAGAAAGTCACTGGGCACTGAAGTGGGGCTAACACTGGAGGATATTACGAGAGGCAGAACTAAAAAGCGTTGCCTTGAAGCATTACTATTCTTTCTCAGAAGCTTGCTGTTTTATAATTAATTCCTATTTATTGGATTTGTTACAAAAGAATACTCCTTTTTATTTAACTTATCTCATATCAAAGAAATACTATAAATATTGGCAAACATTTATCAGATGTTCTGTTTAGAACATTTAGAATGTTCTGCTTCACTGCCTGGGATCTGTTATCCTAGTTCACAGCACACCAGTATCTACACACTTCTGTCTTGTGAAACTGTCTTTCTCATCTCAACTCCTTGACTGTTTTTAGGACATGGGAAGTAGTTGGAAATTAGGGACTTTACTTGTACAACTCCCCATAGCCCCACTGCGCTCAGGACATAAGACAGGCCTTGATGGGCTGGCTGTGTGTGGGGGGCTCTGGTGTCTTTAATAACACGATCATTTTTTCCTCTGGTCTAGGAAGGTTTAGGTAACTTATGACTCAAAATCTGGGAGTAGTAACAGGATGTTTTAAATTTTACATGGAAGGAAATCCAGTTTATATGGGAGGAATACTTTTGCTTTGTCTTTTAGTGTTAAAAACTATGGTTTTGCATATCTTAATAGAATGACTGCAGTCCCTTGGTGATTCAGACAAGGTCCTAAACAAGTCACACGGGTCACTTGTAGTCTGAGTAAGTCAGCAGGGTTGAGGGGCCGCAACAGCCTAGAGCGTAATACGAATGAAAATAGCTATCATCTATTGCATGCGTACCACATGTCAGGTACCACTTAATGCACCCAACGTCTATTAGTTCACTGATCACAATGATACAAGTAAGCCGCCATAGGTGGGATGCAATTAGCATGTAGGTTTCTCTCAAGGCTCAGAAAGGAGTCTGGTGAGTCTAACTCCATGCCCTCATTCTCTCTCCACATACAACCTTTCTAGCTAGGCCTCTTATCTTCAGCGCTTAGCTATGTCTTATATCCACGCATATCTACCTTTCTCACCCATTAATAAATTCCTGGAAGCAATGGCTGTGTTGACACCCATCACAAGAGTGATTCTGCAATGTTCACATTGAGGAGCTTAAGAGCTGTTCTTTTGAAATGAATGAAGACCTTGGGAGATCAAGTCAGCGCATCCAGACAAAAACTGAAGACACTTAACAACATTTAAGTCTTACTTTTAACCCTAAAGAAGTTACTTACATTTAAATTAGTGCAGGCAATGCTCACTGGATTCATGATTTGAGAAAATATGGACACAGCTTTGGCCACTTCATTCTAGAAGAAAAAAAAAAAGTCATACCCCAAAGCACATGAACATTAGTCTGCTGTTGTGAAGGTCATTTTGAAAAGGCAGGAAATTCCTATTCACAGGGCCCCAAGCTTCTGAAATTGACAAAGAAATTTTTAGTAATTAAAAATAAACATGCCATAGAATGCTTCATTTAGTGGCACCTTATCCTGTGTTTTAACAACCTGTCCAAGTCCAGTTTTTGGAGGAAAGGATTAAGTTGGCATTTCCCCTTATACTAGTGGAGTCAGTTTTTAAGAAAAACAGGAAATGAGAAACAGACATTCAAATCCATCTTTGCTATCACTGGAACAAGGAAGCCTCAAAGCTCAGGAGGTAGAAGCATTGACAGAGACACTGGAGCCAAAGCTGGGTACATTCAGGGGAAGGCAGTCAGAGAAGGATGGTGTTGTGAATCTCAAGAAAAGCCCATAAATAGTTCTCAGAGGTTCTCAGTAGGTACAAAACGTAAATCCTGGTTTATAGTGATGACAGCAGAGCTTAGGACTAGCAAGGGGAATTTCTGAATTTATGTGGCAGAGTAGACATTAGACGAGGTTGTCCAGAGATGAGCCATATTTGTAGGAAGCAGTATGTCCCTACAGTAGCTCTAGAAATTGTTCACTGAACACCACTTCAGTGCCTATTCTCACTGGCTAGGGAAAAATAAATCTGTGCGTACTTGCAGGCAAAAGCCTACAAATCATATAAAGTTGTTATACAAAGAGAAAATCTGCTAATTTAGACCAAAGCCCTCTGACATGAATTTCCTATAAATAGCTGCTCTAGAGGATTTTACATTTTTCAATAATGAATTTATATTTTTGAATGAATAATCCAAAAATAAATAACACATGAACTCCAAAGATACTAACTTTTAAAAATCATAAAACAGGAAAACAAAACAAAACAAAACAAAAATACAGGAAAGGAACCCAGTAAAACATAAATAAGAAAATAACTGGAAGACAAGGAAACCCAATACAAAAGTGTTCCTATGGATATGGAGGATACCAATGAGAAAAATCAACAAAATTTCATCAATTAGAAGTGTGAGGAAGAAAATCAGGCTGCCCTCAGAAAATCAGCACCTTTAAAAAAAACCTCCACAAAAGAAGTGTCATCTCAAAATTTTATTATCTGTAGTTTCAAGATTTCCAAAATTGTTGCTCAAGTACAAAATCAAAAGGTAAAATAATTTTAAATATCAAGAACTTAAGGAATATTGTTGCCCTGGAGAATTTACCAGAAAACACGGAGAAGACTAGAAAACAGCAGTAAACAACTAGCAGTAAACAATGGGCCTATTTATACACAAAAGGATCAGAATGAATATGGGCGATATGATTATAGAAGACAGTGAAAATGTTACATACCTACACAAGTAATAAATGATACTACTAGCCAAAAGAAGAAAAGGGAAAAGAAGATAAACTAAAGAATGTTCATTTCCTCATCTTTATTACTTGTGGGTCAAAAAATATCATTTAAGGCTGTTGAGAATATTTAAGAGAAAAACAAACACCATGAAAAATAACATATCAATTAAAATTAGATGATAAAGGAAGAAAATTAGGGAGAAAATACACATATCTCTCCACTACTTATAGTCTGGAAATAATAAGTACTGCCAAAGGAAAAGGCATTGCCAACCTGTGTTCTGGCTTACCTGGCTGTACTGTGAAGAATTATCTTGAGCCACATATAAACTATAGACTATAGAATATAGTTAATGTACATAAATAACAAAACTTCCCTTTCTAAAAAATATTCTTCATTGTAACACAGGCAAGTCCAAACCACCGGTCACAGATTGGACACAACTGAAAGTTAAACAAAATTTCAATTTTAAAGTAATCACTAGGGCAAAAGCACAAACCATAAAAAACCCACATGACATGTTTTTAAAGTTATAAAACTAAAAAACATTAAATAAAATAAAAGATCATCTACATGTCATATTAATATAAATGGGTTATGTCAAGAAAACTAGCATAAAGCAAATCTGAAATTGATGCAATGTGTCAAGTGACCTAAACATAAACCTAATAAAATAATTTTAAAAGATTGAGAATTAAAAAAAAATTAGAATAAAAGGATAACACATCAGTCTATCTGCTGGATACTGAAAAGAAAATAAAAGGATACCACGAAAAAAAGAAAGAGAGAGAATAAAAGGATAAGAAGACATGTGCAACAGGCAAATACAAACCTAATCCAAACAAAGAGAAATAAAAACAAAGGTGGAGCTATTAATATTACATAAGGTTGAATTCAGGACAAAAGCGTCAAACACAAGAACAGCACTCTCACTAAAGTGAGAGATTTACAAACATGACAGAATGATAATCTGTCTGTGCTTATGCACACACAAAGGAAAAACTACAACAGCTACAAAAGGAAATGGAAATGTACCCTAGAAAAGACTAATTCATCTCACTCAGCTGTTGACAGATTAAGAGGACAAAGTAATTCCCCTGGACTGAGAAGGAAGCTCAGGAACTTAGAAAAATAACAGCAGCCCAGTGGAGGTCTGCTAAGTGTGTATCCTCTGAAGTCTTTGTCCTTTAAGAACTTTTCCTACCAGTTATGGAAATGGACCACTCTAATAATCTTATTTGTAATTAGTCATAATGAAGTATTCTCCAGCCACATTTTACCAGCCAAATAAATAATAAATAACGTGGTTAGTATTTTTCTATCAGAACATTTGCTTTTATTACATAGTAAACATGTACAGTATTTCATATTTTTTTAGGCCTTGACAGAGGACATTGAAAAGGAGCCCTTTAAGGGACTGTTTGTTCCAAGGCTCTAGCAATTTGTCCTTCATGCAGGCATGGCCTCAGAGAGCTGCCCTTCTCTCTGGGCTCAGCTGCCTTATTCAAGTAATAGTTAGGTCTATCTATGAAACTTCCTTCTAATGATGGACTGATCCAGGAGCCATCATTCATATGAAGGGAATTCAGCTCTGAAGAGTATTAAAATGCTCTCGAGAACTGGCACAGAAAACATTATTTGCAATTTTTACTTTAATTACCTAAGAAATTTCTCTCAAGAGTGCAGCCTCCCTATGATTTTTCACAGGATTTTGGCCAACCCATTCTAAGTAGAAATACATGTTAGATCCTCAACTGTAAATAAAAATATTCTTTGCAGGCACAGGGAGAGATATAGGTTGCCATGGTAACAAAGGCACTGCTTTCTTTCTGGGGACTTTTCCTTTGTGATACACGCAAAAGCAAGGACAAATGAATGTAGTAAACACCTGCTTGCTTTTAATTCATTTCCATGCACACCAAAGGTTTACCTGATTCAGAGCTAACGCCACAGCAAAACAGGATGCTCTCTTGGAAATAATGTCTCCTTTGACTAGGGCATCTTCTCTTAATGTAGTACAGATTTTAAAAGATTCTGGGCTATTCTGTGAGGAGACAAGATTGTTCAATAAATGCCATGAACCTTTTTTTCAATAAAATGATTAATAATGCCATTTTAGACTTTTGTAAGAATTTCCCAGAGCTTACCTCAAACCATTTCAAAGATTAAGCCCCTTCTATACACTAGTTCCTAGTGACTTGGTCACCTCTCTGTTAACAGTCCAATCTAAAATAATTTTATTTTTGAAGCCAATGCAACATTTTCTGACACGGGGCATTTTTTACTTGCAAACACTTAGGTCTCTTTGGATTTGGGTAGGCTAGTTTCTATACACAAGCTCTGGAATGTAAAAGATTAGTTTGAACATAAATTATGAAAGAACCTCATGAAAACAGAAACCTAAAACACAACAAGTCCTCCAAGAATGTGAGTGATGTATGAACCAGCAAGACAGCAACAGTAAAACAAAGTCTCTTCCTCTGTGTACATTGCAGGGGACAAGCAGTGCCAACTGTGCCTCCGCATCTATCCATCATGACACAGCTCACCACTCACTCCTCAGAGTCTCAATTTGACATGAAGGGGAAGTTCCCAGAATGGACCTGGAATCTGTCCTGGCTGACAAGCTCAGTATTTCAACTTATTTCCACAGAGCGAAGTAAGTTGTTCTTGGACAGAGGGAAGAAAAGTCCTCTGAACCTTGTTAAGCAGCAGAATTAAATTCTCCCCACATCAGCTTATACTAGGGAGACATCCCTGGGCAGCCCAGAAAACTGGGGGGTCACAATGTTGAATAACCAATGCTCTAGTGTGTATTTTGTTGGCCTTCTAGACAAAGTCATAACAGTGGTGTGATTGGAAAGAATGGTCCAATCCAGTGGTCTGCAAACTATACCGCAAGGGCCAAATCCAACCTACATTGAAGAATGGTCTTTACATTTTTGAAGCTTATAAAAACAAAAACAAAGACTATGTGACAGAGATTGTATGTGGTAGAAACTGTCTGTGAGTCCAAAAGCCTAAAACATTTACTATTGGCCTTCACAGAAAAGTTCACTGACCCCCAAATCCAGCTATCTCATTTTATAAACAAGTTAAGTGATCAGATCAAAACTAAATAAGCCAGTTAATACTAAATTGAGACTAGACTTCAAGTTTCTCAATTTCCAGTTCCATTTTGGTTCCATTGTAACCCAGCTTCCCCTCTTGATTTGGAAAGCTGGTACTGCTACCCTCTTTAGGGGAATTTTTCAATGGTCCATTCTCTTCTACAATGGCTGAGGCGCCTTCATTTTCAGTTATCCAGGTATGAATTTAAATGGTATGAATGAGTAGCTATTGAACTTTAGTCATTTAACTTTTACTCACTTGACAAATATTAAAGGAACAGTTTCTATGTGAAAGAAATAACTCTGGCATAGTAATAACGTAAGGACTTGTAAGACATGGTCTTTGTCCACCAAGAGTTCATTGTAACATTATAGACATTTACTAAATAGTAGTAGGTACTGTAGAACCCTCCAGTGGGAAGGATGGAATCTAAGTACAACAGTTGGGCAGAGTTGTAACAACAGGTATGTGATGCAACAGCACAAACAAGGGATATTTTCGGGAGGTAATGTCACTGCAGCTTCAGTTGAAGGACCTAACAGATGAGTGTAGTCTTGTAATTTGCCTGAGAAGAATGGTGTGATTTTACAAGGGGAGGGAAACAGATAGATCTAGTGGAGTCCAGTGTGCAGGAACTCTAGAGCACAGCGTAAAGCAGACATGCTATCTCTTGTTCTCACCATCAACACAATCAGCAGAGAAGGGTGAAAGATGCTAAACTGCTTTTACCATGAAAAATCTGTCAGACAAGGCTAACTTGAGCTTTCTAAAAATGAATACGTTTAAAATTGCACCAGATGGAAAACAGACTTGAGAGGAACTGAATTTTAATTGGAGAGAGACAGAAAAAAATTTCTCTTAAACGCTACCCACCTGCCCTGAAAGTAAGGAAGCAATAGACTTACCAGCTTGTAGCAAATTGCAAAAGCAAGGACATATGTATCTTGGGTAAATTTTACATCCTGGTTTTTCATCTCTATCAACACTTCCAATGCACCTGCCAAAGAGAGGAGAGGGCCAGTGATGTTAAATGCATTATGGCAAGGCCAGGGTTCCCCAACTGCTGGTTCCAAACTCCTGACATATTTAGCACCATTTACTAAAAAGCTATTTCTCAAAGTCATTTAGCAGTTAACTAAATAACCAGGTCATGTAGGAAGAACAAATATAGTATTTTAAAGCCTGCTCTGATTTTAGCATAAGAAAATCTGAGGTTTTACTTCAAGACATGCCATACGATGTGTTATGTTCAAATTTAAAGAGTAAGGACTCTGTTGTTCAGTCCCTCATCAAAAACCTAAAGATCATTTTTGCATAGCCCACTTTTTCCCTAATAGAGATACCACCAAAGACAGTAAAATGTTTCATCAACCATAGGTTGTAGTACTTACCTTCATAATTGCCCTTGATAAACAACATATCCATCAAAATACTGAATGATGTGGAGTCTGAGAAGAAACCTCGTAAATGCTAATGAAAAAATAATACAGATTAGTTAGAAGTTAGAGCTATTAAGGGAATACTTTTACCATATCTTAGTACAATCACAGGATTAAAAAGAAGAATTTTTAGTAATTCTAACATTAAAGGTACTCAGTTTAGTCTTCTGGTTTTTAATACGTAATATGCTAAAATGTAATTATATATATTTTTTTAAGAAAAAAATAAGATCAAACTATCAGTACTACTCTGAAACTAATTATTCTGTGCTTATTAACATATAATGGCCATCTTTGTAATAATGCACTGATGTCCTTGAGGAGGGACAAGCCTGGAGTGAAGAGTTCTACCACATACAGAACACTCTATACAAAAGAGAGATCGATTAGCTTGTGGGGTTTTTTTTGTTTGGTTTTGTTTCGTTTTTTGAAATAGGGTCTCACTATGTAGTCGAGACTGACCTGGAACTCACTATGTAGCCCAGGCTGGTCTCGAACTCACAGCGATCCTCCCGCTTCAGCTTCCCAAGTGCTGGGATAACAGGTGTGAACCACCACGCCCAACTTTGATTAGCTTATTACGAAGTTTTCTGAATATACTAAAATGTACAAGGTGGCCAGCTGTAGCCTCAAAATTTAACAAATATTTCTGAACATACATGAATTTATATGTCTCTAGGTCCTAGTTTTCTATATGTAAAGTAGAAATAGTAATAGGGACATATCAGGGCTTACTGTGGGAATGAAATAAAACATCTAAAGTCAACAAAGTAAATAACTCCAAAAATAAGTTATTTCTTTTCAGGAAAAGAAAATCTGAATATGCAAAAGCATTTTGAAAATGGACAAGCACTTTAGAAATAAAAACCTCAATCAGAAAGAAAAATATAGAAAAAGAGATAGCAAAGTGTAGGAGACCAAATATTCATATTCTCAGAGTTGTTTTTGAGCCTAACATAACCGCCTCCATGTTTACATCTGAATCACCTCACTGGCACAGACGTGCCAATGACTGTACTAATGGCCTTGCTCATTTAATGACCTAATCTGTTACATAACAACTGTATCTCATCATAACTGTTACTGTACAATATGTTTCTCCTTTATCATTTTATGATTAGCCACTTCCTCTTACAAATTTGTGGTTTTTGCCTTTATATACTGCTTGTGCCTGCAAATAAACGAGACCTTGACAACTCTTTGCTTGGTCTCCTTCTCTCTGCGCCTCTCTTATCCCATTTCCAGGTATTTCCCCTTCTTGAGCTCTGCTGATTACTGACCAGCAAAGGTGAAGCACAGGGAAAGAAATGGCAGCCTGTGATAAAGCATTTTCCTCTGAGATATTCTGAAAGAGGTGTACATGCCAGGTCAGCACACATCCATCCATAGCAGGCAGACACCATCACATCGGTACTCCGCCTGTGCACATCTCTACACACAGACCTACACTTCTTCACATGAACCGATGCCAAGGAACTTTAAAAAGGCAGAGAACAACAGTTCATTCATTCAGCCCAGCAGCCTTTCTCTGAAAATTGAACCCAAGAGATGTCTTTTCTAGTATCATCAAAAACATGGCATGAGGAAATCATATCCACAGAAGGAATCAGAATACAATCACCTGGTCTTTGATGAGCTCCACTGCAGATTCCTCAAGATCCATCTCATAACACAGCCTCATGAAAACTGGTCCAAATTTATATTCCCCCAAAGTCATATTTCTATTTTCTGCATGGTACCTGGTAACAAAATGATTCAGTGAGAAAAAAGGTATGGCACAGCAAGAACGACAGACACAGGTCGCGGTGTACACTCTACTAGGTGTGGAGGACACAATAAAGAACAGGTACTTCCAATGTGGTAGGGGAGAAGTGGAGATCTGAATAAAATCACGATCAGAGGAATCCTGCGGTGCAGAAATATAGAAAAATATTCAAATACACAAACAGGCCAACATGCCCTGGGCAATAAAAGCAAGAGGAGAAGAAAAACTTAATATTGTCATCATTCTTTAAACTAAGTGGCAATGGCTGGGAGTGAGCATAAGCCTATGTTAAGGACTAAGCAGGGGTCCTCAGAAAGGGCCCCACCTCCTGGGGAACAACGAAAGTATATGATGGGAGGGAGGGTGATGCTTCGTGCTCAAGGCTGGCGTAATGCCCGTAATGGACAGCAGGCCCACTTCACAACCTGTAGTAATCGCTGCTTCACAACTCCTAGGGAAAGGCATATGTGAGCTGTGACAACCTAGATAAACTAATTAAATGTCCTTCGGAAATCTTTAAGTCTTGAGAAAAAGCTAATTTCAAGGCAGTGGCATTGACATTTGTACAGGTACAGGTACCAGTTTGCCAGTTGGAACTATAAATCACTGACACAGGTTTACTTTGAATTATCAACCCTTTCTGCTACAGATACTACAAGGGCAATATGGTGACCAAAGAGGTACCTTATGCTTACATGTAAATCAGATTTTCATGATGTAAATGACTTTAAAATACTAGAGGGAAAGGTCTGACTTTACAAAACAGAAAGTTTTTCCCCTTGCTGAGATAACTGAGCACAGGTGAAGTCACATTATGATCAGTATATTCTAAACATCTACATTGTCAAACAGAAGGATGATCTGTACTTGCTTTATATGTGTCATAATCCAATTAGAGAAATTATATAAGCATTCACTGCTTCATTATAACACTTGTGAGTTAAATTAGTAAAAGACAAGAGTACAGTGATTGAGAACTTTTATACTCTGATTTCAAAATGATGGTTCGAATCCCCACTCTATTTACAATATGTATAACCATAGGCAAATGCCTCAGTTTCTTCATCAGTAAAATGGAGACAAAAACAAAATTCAAAACAAGTTTTTGTGAGGATTAAATGAGATAAAGGTTGCCCGGGACAGGACAAATCTACAATATATGTTAGTTCTTATAAAATGTATGGCAAACTGAGAAATGGGTTTAAAATCTATAAATATATTTCAGTAAATAGTTTCATGAGAAACTTGTAGTAAAAACAGTAGAAAGTAAAACAAAAGTTTTCCCAATCTAGTATTCACATTCAAAATTAAATTCATACCAATAAACATTAGAACAGTAACTACTGGGCCGGGGATTTATCTCAGTGGTTCCACCACCTGCCTTGCAAGCGTAAGGACCCGAGTTCAATCCCCGGTAACAAAAAAAAAAAAAAGAACAATAACTATTGGCAAAAAAGAAAAAAGAAAAGAAAAAGGCAGACACACGTAATACCATCTACTCAGGAGGATAAGGTAAAGGATCATCAGTTTGAGGCCGAGACCTCATCTCAAAACAAAACAAATGTGCTACAAAGATACTGAGATAGTTACCTCTTGATAAGAAATAATCTAGAAAAAGGATCTAACATCCCCTATGAACCAAATGAAAGCATTTGGTCATGATTTTGAGAGGATTAAGTTGCTTCCCATCTGTGGCCCACTAAGCCACTCCATTCCATCTCATGACTCCTACCCTATCCCAGCTGTAAGATGCCTGCACCAGGAAGGCAGGGAGCAAGCAGGGTAGGCCATGGACTTCCCACCGATCCAATCTCCACAAGTGGAGGAACGGACAGCAGCTGGACAGAGTGCTGTCAGTGGTAATAAAGAATTCTGAATCATACTTTGAATCCTTATGATAAAAACAAATGGAAAGAATGCTCCAAATTTTTATGTGTTGCCACTCTTATAAATATCTGTTTTCAGCAAGCATGGTGGCACATACCTGTAATACCAGCACTCAGGAGGCTGAAATAGGAGGATCACTGAATTTGAGGCCAGCCTGGGCTACATAGTAAGTTCGAGATCAGTTTGAACTACATAGTGAGACCTGTCCCCCCCAAAAAAAATAAAACAAAACAAAACAAGACAAAACAAACAAAAGCATCTATTGGCTATAGGTAGAAAAAAGAGAAGAGGAAAATCAGTGAGAGGGACTCTAATGATTTAATATCGTGAAGCTGAAATACAAAAAAGGAGGTTTGCTGATACAATATGACTGTAAATTACATAATCCTTTTGGAAAATATTCAGTTATTTTATACTGATAAGCTTTAAAAAATGTATACCTCCTGCTATGGTTTGGTTTTGGTTCATTTCCCAAGAAGAGTGTGTGTGTTGGAAACCTGGTCCCCAGGGTGATAGCAAAAAGGTACCAGAGGCTTTCAGAGAAGGGCCTAAGGGGAGGTCTTAGGTCAAATGAGGATGCTGCCCTTCAAGGTATGAAGGTGGTTCTCATGATCCCTCTGGAGCTCTCTAGAGAAAGGTGTTAGAACATTTGAGAGAAGCTGCCCCTTTCCCCCACTCTCTGGCTTCCTCTACGGCAGTGGTGGCAAACCTTTGGCATGCATGCTGCAGCAGGCTTTTGCATCACTGAAAGCTCTAAAAGGTTCACCATCACTGCCCTATGGGATAAGATCACTTGCTCTGCAAATGCTCCTGACACTGCCATCTATTATGTGACACAGCTAAGAGGATTCTCAGCAGAAATGAGCTGATGCCAGCATCATGCCCTGGAATTTCCTAAACTGTGGGAAAGGAAGACAGTGAGAAGAAAGAAAGGCTGAGAAAATCTTAAGAAGTGTCTCACCTGTGAATGACACTTTTAGCTAGCTCCACATCCTCTTGGGACTGACACAAATGAAGCAAGGTTGTCAGCTCGTCCTTCAAGATGAGTTTCTTCTGGGTCAATTTCTCTTCCAAGTTTCTAAAATAGGTTTCTGGAAGAAAGCAAAGGACGGTGGCTATCACTCAGGCTGACTAGAATTGTTAAGTGACCAACTTCAGAGAGGACAGAAAGCCTAATATGGCTCATGCACAGGGCACTTCAGGGGCTCTGGGACACACAGCTCCCTTTTTCCTTTCCTTTGGCTTTCTATCTGATCAATGACAGGGACAAACACCAAACAAACACTGCTTCATGGCATTATGAAGGGGATGAAATGTTACCAAAATGTAGAATGAGATGCAAGGCAAGAACCAAACAAGCGTCTGCTTTGTAGAAAGCAGGGCTCTTCTTGTACAAGAGCTGCCAAGAAATATCTATAGGATTTGTTCCAAAGCACAGTATTTTGAAAGAATGCTGCTAAGAGTAGCCCAATGCACTGCAGAAGCTGCAGCTAACAGTGCTCTTGATTTACAAGAAAGATCTCCTAGGTTTAAGATAAATTCAGTGGGTCTCCAAAGCTTTATTCACAGAACCATATAATGGTCAAAGGTTTTAGGATGAAATCAAGACTCTTCCACCTGCATATTCTGGAGGAGACCCAGGTCTATGAGACTTGATTCCCCATAAAGTAAGGATTGTGACACCTTCCTTAAGAGTTACATGAGATCATATAAGGAAAACACTCAGAACTTGACCTACCACACAGTAACTATAACAGTGATATTATTGACCTCAACTTTCATTCCTATAACCTGTTAAATCTAATAGAATATAGTCTACTAAAAATATCTAAAAGCTCACAAAGGGATGACTTCCTATCTTGTACTTCTTGGTCCTTCTTAATAAACCTATGTCAAAAGAAGTAAATTTTGTTTTAAATCCCATGACTGTTTTTTATAGATTCATATTCAGAAGCATGTGTCTCTGATACAAGGAAGGACAATTATGGTTCCTGTCCACAAAGAGCTTAAGGTATATTTGGCAGGACAAGATTATATACAAAGCTATCTGAAAATAATTATAAATGAGGTGGCACACAAATGAATTTGTCCTATTAGAGTCCTATTAGAGCACCTATGATTGGTCAGAGTGGCAGGATAGATAAAAGTTCAGGGGAAGTAGAGAAATCAAGTGTAGAGGAAGAAAAGGGCTGAATAAGGTTGGGGAAACAGAGGATGGGGACACTCAGGATTTGGGAAAGATCCTCATTTTAGAATTGGGGTGAAAGGTGTTGAGGGAAGAACTGTGATTAAGGGAGCAAGAAAGCACACTGAAGTCCAGAAAGGAAGTCCATTCAGGAAGAACCAGGAAGCCGGGGTGGGGGTGTGTGAATACACTAAGTACACAACAGAATGCTACAGTGGCATCTTAAAGTGACAAAACATGCCCTAGATTACAGATTGACACTGCCTTTTGGAACATGTGGACAAAACTATGACAAGCAGAAATAGCACCTTGACAATGACAGGCCTACTGACTACAAACGTCACATAACTCAAAAATATCTGGGGTAAAAAGAAGAGACTAAAGTGATTCTAGGCTGAATATACTAAACTGAAGAAAAATATATCTGCGCATTCCTAAAGCCCATCTTAGTGTCCCAGGGGTGTAGTACAGAGCTGTGGCGTCAGCTGACTTGCAAAGAAGACTGCTTCCTGGAGGCCTGGACTGAGAGGGAAGGGAGGCAGGATGTGTTACTCAGGGGCTTGTGAGCACTTGGCAGTGAGAGGGAGGGCAGGGCCTATAGCTAAGAACGCCAACAAGGACAAACAAAAAGTATCAGAGGATAACCTTGGGTGTGTTTATAAAAGAGTTTAAAATACTGCTAGGTACTCTAGGAGCAGGAGAGGGAATAAATGCAATAAGATTTCTCACGTGCTGAAAGGAATGGAGCGTAGGTTAGTGGTATTCTTGTGTTTTTAGCTTTTTACAATAAAAATTTTCAAACACATTCAAAAATAGAGAAAACAATATAATGAAATATAATGAACCCTCCATCACCTAGCCTCTACAATTATTGACAGTTTACTAATTTTGTTTCCTTGACATTCCCCAAACACATTGGACTTTCTTCTTTCTTTTGTGGCACCGGGGATCAAACTCAATGATCTTGCATTCCCGAGGCAGGTGCCACACCACTGAGCTAAATCCCACGCCTCACACTGGACTTTTCAAGGTAAATTTCAGATTTCATATAAATTTGTTTTTATAGAAATCTTTGATCCTATGGACTTTTCTAGCACAGAATATATCAAAATGCACCATCACATATAGCACTATTTTGATTCACATAGTTTTCACTTATATATAGATACGCAGTGAAACATATTTTTCACTGAGGATTACATCAAAGCTCGAAAACCAGTCGTCCAGAGATCTTAAATACATAGTATGTAGGAAACATCTGAAGCTTTTCCACCTGCATCTCTAACAACCTCTGAGTGATCCTGCTACAGTCCTCAAATCATACTCAAAGAGAATTGACTCTAGCTTTACTATTTCTCTGTAATTCTGATATAAGGAATAAGGGGAAAGCTGCAGAATTTGTAGTAGTAGAGTGTAAGGAGAAAGGTGAATATAAGGGTAGCCTAGGAAACTAAGAATAAATGTTCTCAATCTTATTCTAAGAGACAGTTCATGGAAGGAGAGAATAAACAGGGGCAGAGAAAATTTGAATGACAGATAAAAAAATTAACAAAATAAGATTCTATTACCTTTGGTGCCAGGAAGATTACATGCAACAGCCACCTTCTTATGTTGAAATTCCTTTAATTTCAAAACATTATCTGTAAGTAGGTATCTTTTAGCTGAAATTAGTGAAAGAAAAAAGTACAATAATTCTGACTTTGGAGAGATCTTGATTACCTTTAATTAACTGATCTCATCTTCATTTATTACAAATGATGCATCTAGATGCATACAAATATGACAGTGACCCCAGCGGGGGGGGGGACCCTCCAAGCTACCAAAAAATGCAAAGCTTCAGCAAAACAAGTTTTGTGTGTGAAAGGAGCTAGCGATTAACTGTGTAAGGTGACTGGCTGACAGGAAGCTAGGATTTAAATAGGCATTTTCCATCTGATTAAGGGATAATAAGGACAATAAAAAAAAAAGAAAAACAACTAAAAAAGCATCTAGATTTGGTTTATCTAAGGGACAGCAGACCGGGTGAGGTGGTACATGCCTGTAATCCCAGCACTTAGGAGGCTGAGGCAGGAGGATCCCTGTGAGTTCGAGACCAGCCTGGGCCACATAGTGAGTTCCAGGTTAGTCTCAACTACATAGTGACACTGTGTCTCAAAAAAAAAGACTAAATATCTAAGGGACAGCATACAACATAATGGAAAAGCAACAGTGTGCACACTGTAACTCCCACTCTTGTCATTTATGAAATGGGTAACAGCCTTCCAGATTTTAACTCAGTTTCTTAAATATAGATCAGAAATCACTGATCACAGCTTAGTAAACTTGGGAAATATTATTCATTCTTTAGGATTCTTGACTGCTCAAGAGATAAAAATGGACGAGGCCTGGCCAAAGAATCATCCACTGGAAGAGTTCTGGTACTACAGTAAGAAGATATCACTAAAAACTCTATTTATGAAAGGTAGTCCGTGAAGTGATTATTCAAATTCTGCAGCTATCAGTTCCCTGTGACCTCAGACAAATGATTTAATCTTGTCTGTTTCTTCTCTGTAAATGGAGAAGAATACCTCCCTCACTGGGTGTTTAGAGGAATGGAATTAAAATACCTAAAATGCATTAAAATAACGCCTGACACAATGTATTAAATACTTTAATCACTCACTAGAATTCTCAAGTTTGATCATTTTCCTAAATATGTTAAAGATAATTCTGAGGACGAGGAAACCCGTTCAGTCCTCTAGATTTTAAAAACCGCAAACTCGTGGAGTCAAAGAACTCCGCTCTCCAAAGGGAGAGGAGTGTCCCCAGAGAGCACGGACGCCCCTGCCTGGGAACACTAGGGCCCCAAAGTCCAGCCCCAGAGGTCCTCGAGTGTCCAGGCACGGGGTCTTCCGTGCTCCCTAGGACAGCCCACTGCACTCACGTGCAACTACACAGCAAGAGCGCGCTCCAGGCCACGGGGCGACTTCTCTATATAAAGAGATGCCCGCTGGAGACTAGCACTCTTTTCCATCTCTCCCTCACTCCACGGTCTCAGTGCGCAGGTACCTCCGAGAGGGCAGCGGCAGCAAGTGGGGCATGACCCCGCCACCCAGGGTAATAGGAAGATCCGAGGAGCTGGCAGCCCAGCTTTCGCCAAGGACTGAAACGTAGCGGCCATATTGCCCAAGGCCGCACCACCTTCCCGAGTTGAAGAGGGGAGAAAGAGCGTCTATTTCCGGAGCGCCCGCCCCTTCCTCTTTCCGTAACCGGCCGACCTTCCGCTTGGTACGCTCCAAGATGGCGGCCCCCATAGCGTGGTGCGGAACTCTTCTGGCTCGGAAAATCGCTATTTCTTACCTCTCTCCAGCAGGTTGGTGGCTGCTCCTAGATGGGGCTGCTTCGCCAGGCCCTTCATTACTTTGTTCCTTGAGTGAAGGAAGCGATAGGCTTTTAAGAAGAAAAGAAATTTTCTGGGACGGGTTGCTAGAAAAGCCATTTGAAGTATTTAGTGATACAGAAAGAGAAGGGAAGGTCTCTGACTCATCTGCGTCCCTAAAACGATAGTATCTGCTAGTTCAAAGCAGAAAAAGGTCATGGCAGAGGGATTTTGTGTATGACTTGTCGGAGTTGCCTGAAAAACCTAAATATACCCATCTCTGGGCCTGTGATAGTTCTCTGTCCTTTCTGAAGTTTCCTTGGAGGTACATCAGGTAGACGTTTTCCCCACCTCCTCATAGGGTCTTAATTTAGTTGGAGAATTTTTTACGATTAATCTCATTTTATCTGATAACCTTGGATATCACTTTTGATTGACCTTTCCTTGCTATAGTTTTTCACATGTAGATAACAAAGGCTGTTACTATTTTTAAAGCATTTTAGTATCTCAGGTGAATGGCACCCCATACAGTTTTCCTTAGTGGATCTGATGACGAGAACACCGGGGGAAAAGATTTAAAAGTATTTACAAAAACAAGTTTGCAATAACGTTAGCCGCATAATGTTGACAGATGTACCTGATCATATAATTAAAGTGCAATAATTGTGCATTCCCAGCACTTAAGAGGCTGAGAAAAGAGGATCGAGAGTTTAGGACCAGCCTAGGCTACAAAGTGAGTTCGAGGTTGGCCTGAAGATATAGGGAGAGAAACACACTCACTCTCTCTCTCTCACACACACACACACACACACACACACACACACACACACACACAGCAGTAAGCAGTAATTCACATTGTTTCCAGTGCCTCTGGTCTTTTGAACCAATCTTGCTTACTTGCCCCCCTCCTCCAAGTAACACACACCCTTGTTCATTTGTCTTCGGGAACAGCTATTAAATATCACTGTGTAACCTCATATTTAGCTATATGAAGCTTAAGCAGTTGACTTTCTTAGTAAAAATGTTCAGTGGCAAGTTGGTATGCATCATGTTCACCACCTCAGTAGGAATTGGCTGTTGTAGCTATTATTTGCATATTTAAGTTTAATTACTAATAAATGCTCCTCAGTCTAAGCAATACCCTGGATAGCAAATCAGGAAGAGAATCATGGTTGCTTAGAATGTTTAGGGGTAACCATTCTAACAAGGGAATGGAAATTATTTATTTACTTGTTTTTGAGACAGGGTCTCACTATGTAGTGAGACTGACGTGGAACTCACTGTGTAGCTCGGGCTGTTCTGGAACTCACAGTGATCCTCCTGCTTCAGCCTCCTGAGTGCTGGGATTACAGGTGTGCACCACCACGCCTGGTGGGAATGGAAATTAAATATGTACCAGGGTGAACTGAGAATTTCCAATTAGCATTTTCATTTTAGTTTGAATTGTCGAACTTCTGGCAAATTACATCTGTGTTATTCCAATATGGTAGGTAGCAACCTAACTAATTAAACTTAAAGAGAAAATTTTAAATTCAGTCATTTGGAAGACACTGGCTATGTTTTAAGAGCTCAGCTGATCTGTGTGGATGGTGTCTCCTGTATCAGAAAGCTCAGAATAGAACATTTTCATCAACACAGGAAGTTATATTGAACAAGCACTGTAATGCACAGGAAATGAAAGGGAACTGGAAACTATTAAGTGAAATGAGTCATGTATATTTACTAGTACAACAGAGACTTCTCAGGATTTGGGAATGCTGATAAGGAACATATAGTCATTGAAATGTTTGATCCGTTAAAGAACAAGAGGAAAAGCACTAGTACAAATTCATGACAAATCGATATTTAGAACACTTCTTAAGATAGAATGGAGAAGTACAGCTAAAATGATTAAGAGGATGAAAGGAAAAACAATAAAGATGGAACCAAATAAGTGACTTAAGTATATGAAGAAGCTTAGAGGGTGGAAATTATACCATTACATAGTAGACTTTAATATATACACTTACTTAAACTACCGTACTGAAATAGGCATTATTTTCCTGTTCTGTATATAAAGGAGAGTCAGACTGTGTAATTTTTGGTACCATTTATTATTAGCAAAGCAAGGATTTGCAGTTACTTTGTGATGCTAAAGTGCATCTATTTTGAGAGTTACACTGCTTCCCTCTGAGTATAAATAATGTTTGGAGACATTTGATTAAAAGCTAAAATAACTATAATATGTAAGGATATTGATAGAACCCATCCAATTTCACTAAACTTGGAAATACTGGTCTTTGAAAATGTCCTAAAATTAAATGGGATTTAATTTTCATAGTTGATAGTTGTTTAGAGACTATTGTTGCTGCAAGCAATATTGACTATAGAAGGTAAGAGATTCCAGAAAAGTTTGTGTATATGCTCTTGGGTGTTAACATTTAGAGTGGGATTGGACAGGCTCAAACCTAAACCTGCTAAGCTCAGATCAGTCTGTCTCCTTGCTAACTCACCTGTGGTCTGAGAACAGTTGTCATCACTGTTACCTAGCAACTCATTAGAAATGCAAAATCGTCCTCACTTCAGACCTGTGAAGCAGAATCTGCAGTTTAATTGAAATTAGAGACTCATATATGCATACTAAAGTTTGAGGATTTCATTTAGGTATTCTACTTTACTATTATACACTCCATTTAATGTTCTGTCCCTGACTTTATAGAAATTCTTTGTAACATTAATATGTAGACCTTCCATTAACAAGCTAAGGGAAGGATTAGATTATCTGTAAATCCACATAAATATATTTATTTGTTTTAGTTGAAAGAAAGTAACAATAACATTTCGAAACTTTAATCAACCCTCATGTTATCTAGTTGTATGTGGCTTGTGTTCTGGAATGTCCTCTGGGTAATTATCTGCTATGCATTCTGTTTCTTTATCAAGGCTAAAAATGTTAAAATATAACATCTCATACGTTTACCCATTAAAAGCTTATAATTCTGTAGTTTTTACTATTTATACAGAATTTTACAGCCATTGCCACAGTCAGTTTTAGTATATTTTTATCACTCCAAAAAAGAAATTCTGTATCCATTATCAGTCCTTCTCCAATTCCCCCTAGTCTTTCCCAGTTTCTACCTCCCAGCCATAGGTAGCCAATAATATGCTTTTTTTTTTTTTTTGGTATGGGGGATCAAACTCGGGACTTTGTGCTTTCAAGGCAGGCAGCAGAACCACTGAGCTAAATCCCCAATCTACTTTCTGTCTGTGTAGACTTGCCTCTTCTGCTATTTCATATAAATGGAGTTATAATATGTGGGCCTTTGAGACTGATATTGTTTCACTCAACATAATGTTGAGGTTCCTCTTTTTTTTTGTACCAGAGATCGAACTGGGGATCTTGCACTTGCAAGGCAAGTGACGGCACCACTGAGCTAAATCCCTGGCCATGTTCTTCATTTTTTAATTGCCAGATAATATTCTATTGTAACTTCTACCGAGTTTTGATACCCATTCATCAGCTGGTGGATATTTGGATTGCTTCCATCTCTTGTCTGTTATTAATACTATTGCCATGAACATCTGTGTATAGTTTTTATGTGGTTACATGTTTTCTTTTTTTCTTGGGTATATGTACCTGGGAGTAGAATTGCTAGGTCATATGGTAACTCCGTGTTAACGGTTTGAGAAACTGCCAAAGCAGCGGCCCCACTTCACATTGTCATGAGCACTACATGCGGTTGTAGTTACTCTGTATTCTCACTAATAGCTGACATCATCTGCTTTTGGATTGTAGTCATCATAGTGGGTGTGAAGTAGTATCTCTAGGTGAGTTTGGATTTGCATTTTCCTACTGGCAAGTGATGTAAGCATCTTTCCACATGTCCACTGGTTGTTTGTGATATATATCTATATAGACATATCTTATATATATATATAAAATCTCCACACACACATTCCACCTTCCATATTCACACCTCTTGAGTCCCTGAATTCAGCCAACCACAAATCAAAAATATCTTTTAAAAAATGCATCTGTAATCCCAGTAGTCATTAGGCTGAGGCAGGAGGATTGCCACGAGTTTGAGACCAGCCTGGGCTACATAGTTCAAGGCTAGCCTGAATTGCAGAGTGAGACCCTGTCTCAAAAAATAACAGGTAAGGTATATAAGAGAATTGCCTAGTTTACATGCAAATACTACACCATTTTATGTAGAGAATTTGAGCTTCTGAGAATTTTTGTAGCCATGGAGGATCCTTGCACAAATTCCCCCAAAGACATTGAAAAATGATTATGTGTGTGTACACATACATATTTTTCTGAGATTTCTTTTGCCCATCGTACAATTGGTTTGTCTCTTTTTGAGTTGTAAGAGCTATATGTGCCATACAAATTTCTTATCAGATAAATGAGTTATAAATATTTTCCCCATTCTGTGGATTGCTCTTTCATTTTCCTGAGTGTCCTTTGAAGCATAAAAATTTTAGTTTTGATGAAACTACCCTTTATTCTCTCTCATTCCTTAAGCCCATGTTTATTGAGCACTGCTTATGCCAGGCATGGTGCTGGTGGGAACACAGCTACACTACCTTATAGGTTACTTCAAATTTGGCTCTTATAATTCCTCTTTCTTAACTGGTAAGGGCTTACTTTACTGGGGTGCGAGGTCACTGGATCACTAACACACTACTCTCTGTTTTATGTGAAGTCAGGGTAAATACGCTGATCTAACACAGATGGAAATGTTTTTAGGACTAGTAATCATAATGCATTCAGTTAATGAGTTAAACAGCAGCTAGATCTGCACATGTTTTGAGCTTTAAGAAATTCTGGGGTTTACCTGGGTTATAATTTACTGAAGATAAGTGGCTCCTAGTACTAAAGTTACAGGAACAAAATTACCAGCATTTTTGCCCGTAAAATTCTACTCGTTAGAGTTTGAATGCATTTTGTTATGAACTGAATTGTAATCTAAGCAGAGTTGACTACAATATCATATTGGAATTTCAGAAAATATAATCTAGTGGTTTAAAATGTGATAAAGACACTGTTTGGTAAGGCAGATATAAAAAATAAAATTGTGTGTAACCATGCATGTTGAGATAATTGTTTTTTTCCTCAGGTAAAAGATGCCTGCTTTCGGCAGCCTATGTGGACAGCCACAAATGGGAAGCAAGAGAAAAAGAAGAATGTCACCTTGGTATGCACTCACGTGGTGGGCTGTGTACCCTTTGCAGCCTCTCCGTGTGTCCACTGTCATATAGTCCTATGGTGTATGTGTGAAATGATGCTTTCTTGTATGATGATTCAATTCAGATAAGCACATTTTAAGTCTGAAAAAGAATTAAAAGTTTACATGTAGCAAATCATTTTTGCTAATTTTTACATTTTTAATATTTTATTCTTGAAATGATTTTTTTCTGGCTTCCTTTATTTTGCTGTTTGTGTTTGGTGTCTGTCTGTTTGAGACAGGGTCTCACTTTGTAGTTCAGGGTGGCCTGGAACTCCTGTGATCCTCTTGCCTCAGCCTTCTGCTTGCTGGCACTACTGGTGTGCGCCACCACACCTTGCTGTCTTGCTTGCTTTTGCTTTTTCTCCCTTTAATTTTGTATGTGTGTGTGTGTGTGTGTGTGTGTGTGTGTGTGTGTGTATGTGTGGTTTATAGTGGAGATTAAACCCAGAGCCTTGGAATTGAGCTACATCCACAGTCCTTTTATTTTTTATTTTGAGACAGGGTCTTGCTAAATCACGGGCTGGGATTGTAGGTGTGCACCATCATACCATATCATGCCAGCCCTTTTTGTCCCTTTTAATTGTACAATTTGCATCAACCTGTCTAGTTTTACAGAATAGTATACTTTCATTCTTTTTTATTTTTAATCTCTTCATTTTTTTAAAACTCCTTGTGATCTTTAGGTCCCTTTTTGACTCTTCTCTATTTCATTAATAGGCATAGATTTAAAAGCCAAGTTGGAATGTGATATAAGCGTTTAGGAATGTAGGTGGTAAACATCTCTCCCGGCAATAAGTTTATAGTTGAATTTCCTTTTCCCTCCTTCCCTGTGTAATATAAACAGTTAGCAGCCTTTCTTCTATAAGACACCAATGCCATTGACTCACCACTCTTTATGCACATACTTCAGATGGGACATCGGCCAAGGGAATAATAGGCTGGTGATTAAGTTTTGAATAGATTCCAGTGCTGATCTGATATTTTTCCGGAGACTTCTTCCACTGTGGCTTTTGTTGTTGTTTTGGTTTGCATGGGGGATGTACCTGCTGGCTGTGGCTCCCTTATTGGGGTTTCAGAACGCAGGGTGCCAGGCAAAGCAATCTGTGCAAGATGTGAAGCTGAGAGACTGCAGCCTCTCCCTGAGGAACTTGCAGTCTGATTCTCCAGAGAAGAGGCTTGGCATCGTCTTTTTTTTTTTTTTTTTTCACTTGATCTTAGCCAAAAGCTCAAGAAGTGATATATTTTTTAATAACAAATACTTTATAATACTCATTTTATCTTGAAATTAAATTCTTTTTTTATTGAGTTTATTGGTACATTTTAGGTATACAGCACAGTTACATTCATCATTGGGCTCTTGTACCTTTACATGACAGGTCTTGGTTCTCATTTTTTCCCATTACCCCTGCAAAATTAAAATTCAAAGATAATGTAATTCATACATATTTTAAAAATCTATACAGTTACCATGATATTAAAAGGGGAAGTAACTTATAGTAAATACGTATTTCAAAATATAAATAAATGCTTTGGCACAACTTCAGTAAAAAGCAGAACAATGAAGTGGCGAAGGCTTGCACTCAAATGCAGAGTCACTGTGAAGACGACAGGCAGAGATGTGAATGACACAGATGTGTTTGGGCACCAGGAGCGGCGTTATCACAATGACATCGTTTTGTTGACAAAATGAACAGCCCTGGTGTACCCAGGGTCGGCCGGATTCCCACTCTGCGTGTTTTTGGAGGCGGCCGTCGCCTTGGTGTCTGCTCCTGTGCGTCGGGGGTGCTGATGCTGCCGCGGGATGGCAGTGCTTCAGAGAGAAGTGGAGTGACCTAGTCCCTCACCTGTAACCCCAGGTGAAATACGGGAAGCCGGGTGAGGTTTTGCAACTCCAACCACTTGGGCGAAATATCAGGGGCTTTTGGAGACTCTTCTCCGCTGTGTAACAGAATGTGTCAATGAAACACGTACTCTTCGCTTCTCCGCCACAAGACTCCTTGCTTTCCCTAGTTTCTACTTGGGTGTTAGGATTGGGCTTTGGCCTGAGCAGAGAGGTGTAGCGCGCTGTTGGGGGAGCGTCGGTGTCTGCGTCCCTAATGTCGGCCAGGAGATGGCGCTGTGGGCCTTGGGGAACCGCGGGCGCGGGTCTGTCGAGGCGCGCTAGCGCGCTCGCACGACCGCGCTCGGCATGTGGAGCTCTAGGATTGGGCGCGGTGAGCTGGAGAACCGCGAGGTGTTCGGGCGGGCTCGCGGATTGGAGGAGGGAGGAGGGCCGATATGAGGTTTTCGCTGCCGCGGCCCCCATTGGACAGGAGGGCCTCGGAGGCGTGGGCTGCATCTGCCGGGACGGGCGCTCCTCAGCCGCCCTAAGCTCTCGGAGGTGGCTGTGGGGCCTGAGGCCCACGGAGTCTTCCCTTTGACCCTGGGAGCAGACTGGCCTTTCTTTTCTTTTGCTCTTATTGTTTGTATTGCAGTGTGCAGTGCATCCTGAAATGTGATAAATTAGTGAGTTGCCACAGGTGAGCCGACCCGTGGCGCCCCATACTCTTCAGAAATAGCCATCGACTGACTTCTAGCGCCATAGCTTACTTCTTAAAAATGCTTTACTAGGAGAATTGTAAAACATACACACGAGTGGAGGAAATGGTCTAAGGAGCCCCCTGGGCCCATCACGCGGCTCCAGCCTTCGCTTCTCACGCCCGCCCGACTCTGACGCTGGGCTCCCGAGGTAAATCCTAGGCCAGGCCCCGACTTGGAATCTTCCTAAAAGATGAGGGCCCTGCACCACTGTCACGCCCGAAACAGAGAGACCATGTTTTCACATTTCTTCGATAGTATCATAAATGAATTTTTAATGGTGTGATTCGACCAGGTCAGCTAAGGCCGGTACGTGCATTTTATGCCCCCGACCCTTTTCTGCCTCTTTAAATGTTTCTATAGAAACCGAGCAGTAGTGATGTAAATCCGTGTCACGTCATCCAGCTTTAGCGTTTGTCAGTTCCCTGTCCCTGTTGTTTCCATACTCCCATCAGATTACTTTTTTAAGAGATCTCAATTATCAAATCGTTTTATATGTATTTTGGTATGTACCTCTGAAGAATTTTTAAAAGATAACTATAATACCATTCACATACCTACAATTTAGTAATTTAACATTAAATATTTCTTCAGTGTTCACATTTCCCCAGTCTTATAAATTTGTTCACATTTATTGAAATGAGGTCCAGACAAGGTCATATATTACCATGTGTTGAAATGCCTCTTAAATATCTTTAAATCTCCCCCCTCTCTCTTTAGTCTGTCCTCTCAAAACAGGTCTTTTGTGGTCTCATATTCTGGATTTGCTGATTTCATCAGTATGGGGGTGGTTAACATATGTTCTGCCTAAATGGTAGTTGAAGAAAATGGCTTGATCAAATTCAGTGCTTTTCTTTACCATTCCCCTCTTGAGACAGTGCCTCCCTATGCATCCCAGAAGGCCACCAACTCTTTCTGCCTCAGCCTCCTAAGTGCTGAGATTACCAGCACCAGCACACCAGGCTAGGTTCAGGGCTCATTTTTTTGGTGTGTTTTTTTGTTTTTGTTTTTGTTTTTGTTTTTGTTTTGACATGACTGTGTCAGGAAGCACCACAGCATTTGACACTCTGTGCATGTTAAAGATCATTTGTGGTCATTGCTTGGCTCCATTATTTCATTAGGAACTACAAGCTATTGTTGTTTTAATTGTCACTTCTTCATTCATTACCTAGAAAAAATTTATAAGGAATTTTACCTTTGTCAACATTACAGTTATCCTTTAGTGCTCTTTGTACAGAAGAGGAAGTTTTCACAGTATCTTCCAAAGATGATCAGTAAGGATTTTTTTAAATGTCCTTGTGAACTCTTACATTTAAATAGTGCAGCTGTGTGTGGTGCATGCCTATACTCCCAGGTATTCAGAAGGTTGAGGCCGGGGAATTACAAGTTCAAGGCCAGCCTGGGGAATTTAGGAGACTTAAAATATACAGTTTGGTCATTTTAATACATTACAGTTGATATTTTTATTGATAGGGCCTTAGTTCCCACTTGTGCTCTGTAGAGCCCTAGAAGTTCTTGGGCTTCCCTGCTTCAGGGGAAAGGTTATAGGTTTTTATGATTTCTGTACTGGGCTTGCTTCACTTTGGCTAAATACTGAATTAAAGCTTTGTCCCTCAAATTCGTCTGATAACTCGTAGATCAGCAGGAAGGTACCAGGTGAACGTTAATGACTAACCATTTAGCAGCTGATGCATTACAGGATACGTCCCCCAGTGACTGAGCAGGGCACATATACCCCTGGGGAGCCATGTTGGCCATGGTGATGGGGGTCAGGACTGTTGGGGAAGCTCACAGCTTCCTTGAGAGGAAGTTTGCTCAGGTGTCCTGCTAGGAGGCAGGGACCCAGGTGACTTGAGCAGAATTGGATACACAAACCTTACTGAATTAAATATTTTATTTCCAATTTTTCATTGTGTAGGTAATCACAAAGTAAGGTATGCCTTTTGGTTTCAGTTACTGTTACACTTTATTCTATTTTGTTTTGTTAAGAACTTCCTCACTCAATTTGAAGAGTATTATACTATGGATATGTTTGAATTCAGGTCTCTTACAGCTGCTTCTCCTATTTTAGCTTATGTTTAGTTTTGCAATGTCATTTCATCTGTGGAGACCTGTGCCTTACAGTAATTTTCAAATACTGATTTTGAGCCCTGGTAGAGATTATTTGAAGTCTGCATTCCTTTTTTTTTTTTAATAGAACTTTTATCAGTTCCATATTTGAATCTCAGTGTCATTATTCGTTGACAGGTTTTCATATTTATCATCTGCTGACAGTTCTGGAGTTTAGTCTGATTTGTGCATATTATCCTCATTATCCTAGCATATATGTGTACATACCTTGCTTCTGTGTATGTCCTTATTGGAACTTTTTAAAATTTCTGGAGCTGGGG